AAATCTACAGCACAGTTCCTGCTGCCTGCAGTGGTACCAGGTGTGGTTCGACCGGCCCACAGGCAACCTTGGAATTCTAATGCAAAAAGCCTAAGCATACTGAGTGGGGAAAACACTCATTAATAAATATCTTAGGAGAACATGGTTACCTCGAAAAAGGCTAATTATTTTGATAGTTACTCGTTCAAAACGAAAAAAAGAAAAGTCTACTCAATGAGAGGAGAAATTAAAAATTAGGAATCTCACAAAAACAGACAGCAGAATATTGCATTCAAGAGGACAGCCACCAATTAAGAGAAATGTCAACAATTCAAGTGGCAACAACTTCAAAAGGGAAATCTTTTCCTCATTTTCATACGCATTCTTCATAAACAACATCAAGAAGTGTAACATGCTAATAGCTAATAACACTCAGAATAAGATTCACTAATTTACTAACTGAATAATTTAATGCATATCAAAGAAATGATTTTCTCATTTCATTCTTTTTTTAGATCTAACGCTAAGCTGGGTATTATCAAGTAGATGAAACTGCACAGATTACAAGTCATCACTGAAATAGTCATTTTAGAGTTGAGTTTGTTTTTTTCCATTGGATGTATCCTTTAAGGAATCATATTCCTTTTTTTCTTATTCTTACAATGGATAGCAATAAGTAAATAAATAGAAGAGCAGAAAAGAAAAATCAGCTGTGCTGAACTAAGGCAGGGAGATGGGATGTGGTGAGCAGTGTGCCCCGTGGTCCCTTGGCTGGGGGGCCCATGGTCCTGGCACGATGGCTCACACACGTGCTCGGCCCCAGGTGCACAGTGGATAGGTTTGATTTGTGCTGCAATGGAAGGTGCTCACCCCAGCACCACACACCATGGAATGAGGGTGGCAGGCTGGAACCATTGGCTTTGTGGCAGGTGGAGCAACTTTTGCAATTGGGAAAAAAAACCAACACTCTCATGCTGCCAAAATATGAACAAGGTGCTTCCTCAGAAATATTCTGCCACGGCCGTTGGTAGATATCAATTCCTCATGTACACAGGACTTCCTCCAAGGAAAATGGCATAATTTCAGCAGGCTTTCTGATGAGAAAACCTCTCTGCACTGTTTTTTTTTTTAACTCCTGCAAAGTCTTTCACTTCGAGTCATGAGCTTTCAGCGCAGCAACATCTCATGGCTGCGACCTGCGGTGACTGCGATCAGGCAGCAGTAAGCAGAGCTGCTTTGGGGTCCCCGGCAGCAACGGCACAGCGTGAAATCAAACAGGGAATGGGTTCTTTTGTGTTTTGCTTTGTTTTTTGCATAATATACCTCCCTTTGTGAATGCCCGGGTTCCTTACCTTGGGAGAAAAACAAGAATTTCCCTATCTTCTTTTATACCACCCATTACTTTGCATATCTTTAGGTCTTTCATTAATTTCCTTTTAAAAACAAACTCTCCTACTCCTTTCAGATTCGTATGCAACATCAAAGCATTTCAGTGAATTTTTCATTCCATTTATATGCCAGCTCTCTGGTGATGGAGTCAGACATGTTGTGGTAGTCCTGCAGGCAGCAAAGATGCCCAGCTTCTCTACCACTGCTGAAGTTCTCCTTGCTGTAAGCACCAATTAACTCGGAACAGCCCCTCAAATAGCAAAAAACCGTCCTGTGATAACCCTGCTGCCTTGAAGAGGGCAATGGGACCAGCGTGCTTTATCCTTAAAGGTAAAAAGACAGCTGTGGTCTGTGTGCTAAAAGGAACTGAGATTTATTTTTAACTTCCTTTTTTTTCCTGAGCATTGTGAAGAAGCTGAATCATTCTATTTTTATTTAGGAGGAGACTATAAGGGAGAGAAATAATCTGATATATTTTAGAGACACTTCCAAAGAACAAAGGCTGTCATGGTGCAGTGACCCATGCCAAAGAAAACCTTATTTCCTCCAGTAATGTCAGTTGGGCTCAGTTCTCCACCACATATATGTTCAAGAATTTTTGTACTGAACTGAGAGTTCAGTATAACGCTTCTGAGAACTCAGATTAGTCTCCCTTTGTCAGTGCTGAGTTTAGGAAGTCGTGAAGGCAGTCTGCATCATAGTGGTACTATGACTGCTCTGAAACAGAACCGTATCATATATCTGTTTTCATTCTTCTGCTTGAGACATACCTTCAGAAAGGCAGTTTCTGATGACATGTTTGGGCAAATGATGCCTTATCTGCATGCTTTTTTAATGTATCATCCTGATCTGGTAACTTGAATGCCATAACAAGAAAGCTATGTTAATTGTACATGTTTATAAGTTAGTGCAGTCCAAAACACATGCCTTAAACTATCTGCCTCAGAAAGTCTGCAGATTGTTTGAGAAGTCAGAGATGTTCCCTCTCTGCAAGGGGAATCACAGAACTTTTCAGACCAAAAATCTTCAAACACAGTAATTTTAGCCTCACGGATATTTTATATTTCTCCTGCCTAAAAATAAAAACCACCAAGTATATGAACTGCTGCTGTAAATAAAAGCACGAGTAACAGAGTTCTACTGTTGCCGGGCTCCTCCTCCCACTTGATCTCAGCAGTCAGCAAGAACACTTATTCAGTATTAAGTTACAGTAAAGAATTGTTGACTGTGGTATAATTGAGAGCAAAGATAAAGTCAAGTCAGTGAGTTTGCTTCAGCTTGCAACATTTCAAAGAAAGCCTCTAAATTTGTTTAGATCTTAAAAATGAAATCTTATAGGACATATTTGTTAACAGTAAAAATGCTTCTCCATTAAGTAATTCGTATTGAAATGCACAAAGTCAGTGTTATTTGCTTCTAAGTTAGATTTCATTCTAAATAGTGTATGTTAAAAACTTTGACTACTTCATGCCAAATGCTTTACACATTTCTCTTTAATTAAATTCTGCCAGAGAACCATGTTACATAAGCCAATACAAAAAGCACTCTCAGAGAGCGTGGGTAGAGTCCAGGTGCCCTTGCACTGACTAGTGAAATTCCTACAGAACTCATCGGAGGCAGGATTTTACTGTTCATTCTGTACGCTTTTTATACATAGGCATTTAAAATCACTGTTATTTAGTACACAAGATCTTCAGTATATTATTTTTAAAAACTTCTATTTTAATGAGCTCTGGGCTGTCATTTCTCACTTTTGTTACAAGATAAGTCTTCCTTCAGATTTCAAACACGTCTAGTTTCAAGTATGTTTGTAATTGCCAGAGTACATAACAGATGCCAGTTTAGATAAGCTTCCAGTCTGTGGATGGAGGTAGGCATTTGCTCTCATAATCTGCAGCTTTACTGCAGAATTTGAGATTTGCCTGTAAAGAGTTCTGGGAGCATTGTGTGCCATTAGCACTTAGGGATTCCTTAACTGCACAGTAATACGTTCAGCAGTAAGGCACAGGTGGTGAGGACAAAGAAGTAAAAATAAAAACAAATAAATAAATGTAAAAAAGGATAATCTTTAAGATTGCTAGAATAATACCTAAGCAAAACAATTAAACTGTGAAGTATTTTTCAGCTGTGTGAGATGAAACAAACTGAAGTGAGCAGCACTTGTACTAACGCCATCATTCTTAGGCACACCCAGCTCTGTGCTGCAGTTCCCTTCCTGCAGGCAGCGCAGCCCTCAGGGGAGCATGCTGCCTGGTGCTGGACACTCACTGTGGTGGACGTGTCACGTCACACTGGTGCCAGATTTCAGCTCCACGTGCAGCTCTGACGCTTGTTCACAACAGTGTAAGAACAACAATCAGCTTGTGGGAGGATGCTCTGCAGACATGCTGTGGGGTTTGGTGTTTTGGTACAAAGGGAACAGGAGAAGGATGGCTGCCCTGGGACAGCCCTGCTTGGACACACGGCTGCAGTGGGTGAGCCGCAGCCCTGCAGCTCCTCCAGATGCTGCTGGCGTATGGCTGGGGAATGGGGGAGGCTGTCTGAGCATTGCTCATCTACCTCCATTCAAAGTTACTCTGCTGATATTTTTTTCAAAGTTGCTAAGCTGTTACCTGGTTACCATAGCCTGGTAACCACTCAGGCAGATATGGGCTTTTTCTTCCCAGCAGGTAAGCGGGTGACCCTCACTGAGTCAGTCAGCCCAATGGCACCAAAACCACTCAGCTGCAGGCCAGGATGAGGCTCTGTGAGAAATGTATTTGAAGTGTTCAGAAGAATGCTGGGTATGAGATATGATTAGTTCTGACAATGCTTATTCAATTTAAAATATGCTTAACCGGTTTAAAAATAAAACCACAGACTCATTTTGACTGCAGCCCAGTCCCGAAGCTATTTCAGCATGCGCTGCCCATCGCAGACCTTATATTCTGATCTGGCTGTAACGTGGCTATTAATAGAGCAGAAGTTGGGGGTGCAATTGGCGAGGTGGGCAAGCAGCTCAGCAGCCACGTGCTGGTGGGTTGGCCTGGCCTGGACCACCATCCTGTCCACACTGCTACCAAGCCCACTTGCCTCTGTGCCAGGAGAGCAGCACATCAAAGGTACCCACAGCCCTGAACTGCTGCAGGACTTTAAGAGGCATGCTCCCGTGCTGTATTATGCAGGAGGGGATCAAAAGTCAGTCTATATGCAGAGAGTATCTGGAGAACCAAACTGGATTCTTCTGGAAACCACAAATGCTCTCATTACTGAGAACTATGTAATATTTACTTTTTTTTTTTTCCCCTCCAGAACTAAGATACAAATTTGTACAAGTTTCTTAAGTGGGGTTTTCCAGGGACAAACTTTATTGGTTAGCTCTTCATTTCTTGCATTCTTCATAAATATTCAATTCAATACATTTCAATTGTTTTTCTGACTTACATTAAAGTTGAGGAGATCACAGGTTAAACATTGTGAAACAGCATTAAAGGGATAAATGAAGAGAAAATAATCTGTGTAAATCAATATTCCTTCTGTCAGGCAGAAAAGCTACAGCACAAATATCTCAGACCCTTCTAAAAAAATTAAATCATAAATTTTAAAATGTGGGTGTACATTTAAATGTTACCTCTTCCCAGACCAGCACTTACCTGACACCTGCTCAGCTGTTCTGTATAGGCTGTGGGGTCTGTAGGAGCACACTGGCAGATCTGTGAGCATTTCCTGAAACAGAAAGGCAGGAATGGTTTTGTCTTGTATCTATTTGGGTTCAAACATCATTGATGTAGTAAAAAGGGAAAACAAACAAATGAAAAAAAAACCAACACCCAAGAAAAAGCCAACAATCACTGAGTACCAATGTGCAAGGCTCTCATTTCCAAAGACACCATGGTTGCACAGCCTTACAGAGAAAGGAGAGGAACCCAATAACCTGCCAACAGCACTACCTGAGCAGGCCAGACAGATCATTTGCATGGCAAGCAGAACTCCCAGGTCAAAGGACTGAAAAATAGGTATCTTAAAAATCACTTGCAAAATTCATTCCCAGTGCCAATTTTGTTCTGTGACCAGACACCTTATCCACACAACCAAGGGTCTCTTCTAAAGCAGTTTCAGGGCTCATTCACACAAACAGGTGCTCGTGCAACGGCAGGTATAAACTCCCTGGCTCTGGGTGCATCGTGTACCCAAGCAGTGTGCTTGGTCACTGAGCACAGCCTGCTCCTCGCTCCCTGCTGTGCTGCAATCTCACATAAACTGAGGGTAGATTAGAGAAACCTAATACGCTCTAGGACTGTAAAGGGATTAATCTCACATAAATCTTCACCAAAAAAAAAACAACATTAGTATTTATTTACATGCATTTTATTTTCCAATGAGAAAACAAACCTCCTTTTCTCGTGGAACAGTAGAAGTCTTTTCAAAATTTTAATGGCTTTGGTTTTGCATTTAAAATCCCCAGCACTACAGTTAACCTATATTCTTGAGCTCAAATAAAAGCTAAAAGCACGTATTTTAGAGGAGGGCTTAGCAAGCTTTTCCATTTCATTACTAGATATCTATTACAGGGGCAAGATGCGTACTTTCATCTCACTGACACACTGTTTTACGTATAAACATCTTGACCAGCACCGTGTTGTCAGCGGTTAGCAGATTCAGTGTGTTTTGGCTGAATTTCTGAAGGGGAAAACTGCGACTTGCACTCTAAATATTTTTTCTGGAAAATGGCTTCCTCAACAGACTGTGGGCATCTTGGAGGGAATTCCAGCAAACATTCCATCAAGAGCAGCTTGCTGCTGGCGGGTGCCGACATGCCAGCCTTGGGAACTGAAATTGGGCACCCGTGGGTCCCACAGAGCTGTGGGCAGAAATTATGCCAATGCTGTTGGCGCTGCTGACTGAGGCTCGTTTGAGATCCAATCTGATTTACGATAAGACATTCTACATTGGGGAAGTCTTGAGGATTTTAGTTAATATTTGTTACTAGCAGATGTTATTAATATTTGTAGAGTTTTACTTAACATGTCAGCAATCTTTAATTGCTCTTCTTTCCTGTCTTTCTGGAGTGCTGCAGAACACCTGTGGACAGGGAAGAGGCTGGGTGAGGAGCACGAGACCAAGAGTTTGGAACCTGGATGGCGCTGAAGGCCACTGTGAATGTTAATTATGTCACTTCATGCTTTTACAGCGCTCCTTGTGCTTAAAGCACCACACAGACTGCTCGTGATTAGTGATCTGATGGTTCTGAAATGATCAGCAGTGTCATTTAGGCTGTCATTAGGACACAATTAGCAGCCCTCTGATCAGTGCACTGCAGCCCAGAGCAGGCTAATGGGGCTGCAGGGCAGCGAGGGGACAATGCTGCCTCTCCTCACCCTGTGCCCACTGCAGCCCTGCATGGAGCTGGACTGAGGGCAGGGCACAAAGCACCCCTTGTGTCCTGCCCATCATGCCAGAACTTGGGGATTTCTGAGAGCTATAAGGAATGTGCCTGCAGATCTGACCATCCACTGCTCCACCACTCTGTGTTTCAAAACAGGTGGGTTTTTTTGTTTTGTTTTGTTTTTTTGCTTGATTTATAGAGAACTTGGCTTTTTGCAGCAGCAGAAGATACAGTGGCAAGGGTCTCAGAGGTGACATTCTGGAATCTAAGGGCACCACGTTTGGGTAAGATGAAGAATTGAGTTACTCTAGCAGACTGAAAACCAAGGTCTGGCTTGGACGGTGTTCCTGAACCTAGCATTCTTACTCCACGCTTAGGTAGTGAACTCTTCCACTCACGTGCTTTAGATACTTGTGTTAATAGCATAAATGTCAACAGAAATGGCATGTTTTTAAAATGTTAGAGTTGCTCTTCTGAAATGGTCCAAGCATATATTTTTAGCTTCTACAATCTCTTCTGATTACACCGCTTGCAAAGGTATCGTATTTCTTGTCACATCTAGCTATAGTAACGTGTCAGTAGCTGTACTACTGCTGATTCCTCTGCATAAAGCACTGTAGAATATACTTCAAATACTGGCTTTTTGTGTGTCTCACACAAGTAGTCATTAATACCAAGGGAACAGCATGCTACTGTTCCAGGTTTTCTAAGAACTAATGCTATCGCTCTCCACCAGCTCCTGTTGCTGGATCCACAATGCCTTTATTATTTATGTTTTTACTCTTGAAAATTCAAATTTAGATCTGAAAATTTTCATGCTTTTGTTTTTTCAAAATAATTAAGGCAGGCAAATGGACCTGATGTAATCTGCATAGTGTGCACCATGGCAGTGAAAGCACTGCTTGTTCTCTGAAAGGAGTAATTCTTCCAGCTGGCGTCCCATGGCCCCTCCCCGTGCGGCCGCCTTTCCCATACACTCAGGGGACTTGCTGCCAGTCATTGGTTTGCCCCGGAGGTTTGCTACAGTGATATTATGGTTTGCTGGATGTCTGTGCCCAGCAGGTTTGTCTCTAAGCATAATTCAGTGTTTTGCAGTTCTGCTGGTGTAGCGATTGCTTTGCCGAAGCACCATCCTCGCCCTGGGTGCTTGGGGTACACATTGCTCCATCTGCACACGGCCTTCACAGCAGGCTTGCAGGGATCTTTTCTCCTCCTCTGCCATCCCCATAGTAAGTGGCATGTTTTCAGATATGTTCCATCCACAAAGGATTTGAATGTTAGCCTAGCATATTTTACTGGTACTTGAATGGCCTAAAGAAAGTATTTGGAAAGTGGCAGATGCCTTTGGAAAAGACTGGAAGAGAAAAAAATACACTAGATGGGGATGTTAGCAGGTCAGCTGGCCCAGGAAAACAGAAAAAAAGTGCAGTGCAGAAGTGGTTGCCAGCAAGCAGCCATGTAATCCCCACCTCGGCAGCCACCAAGCTCCTCCTGGCCCCTCTGCTGTGACACACTCAGCCTCTCTGCCTCAGTACTCATTCTGTACAAGAACTGTGAACTGCTGTACAGATCATTCAGGCAAAACAGACTTCCCAAACCTGCTTTTTTTCAAACACATAAAATAGGTATTGTCTGAGGAGGAACAAGCACCAGGTAGTACAACACGTGATGTAGGTGGGGTTTTTTCATCACCACAGCAGCGCTCCAGGCGCGCGGGCAGCAGCTGGCACCAAACTGCTAGCATGGCTGCTGGGCACCACCACAACACAGGGAGATAATCGTGCTGCTTCTGTCACAGGAGCAACAGACCTGCAAAATGAAGACGCCAAGTGGAATTCCCAAGTAATAAGGAATCACTCCACCACTGGTGCCTTTGGTAGGCCACTGCACAGTGTAGGTAGGCCATCGGGATGCACTTCTTCATAGGAATGTTCCACGGGACACATGTGGAAAACACACTGAGTGCACAACAGCTTGGGAAAACTTAGCAGTTTGGGAGGAATTAACAAAGAGACAACAGTGTTTGTCATGACAGTAAAGGAAGAGGTATGAAATAAAACAGCTTACCACAACATGGCTTCTGACTAAGAGTGAAAAATGTAATGAGGAAGAATGTACTTCGGATAAACATACATTCTGTTAAGGTAAATGAAAAAGCATGTGCCAGTGGGAGGGAAAAAAACACGACTTCTTCCTGTACAGTCACCACCAGCAACCATTTACATGAAGCAAGTGAGGAGAGCAGACTTCCTCAGCACCAGAACAGAACAGTGTCTCGGATAGGCAGAGAGGTCTAGGCAGAGAGGACATACAATTTATTGACAGCTTTCACAGAACACTAAGGCTCTATTTGGCCAGCTGGGAAGGAAGGAAGAAAAACAAGAAGTCAGTAAACGGTCATTTACTGTGCATCTCTTAAAGTCCTTGCTAGCAGTTGTCAGTCTTACACTAAGAGACAGAGAACTTGAGAAAGTCAGAAAGTCAACGTGGTTGACTGAAAAGCAAGTGATGATGATGCAAAATTAGTTGATGCAGTTCATAGCTGTCAGTGAGAACGTGCAGAAGAATATTCTCCTCCTGAGCACCAGCCTTCCTGTGCAAATTCAATGCTGCACCAAACCAGACTGGATACGGACACAGCCACCAGAAAAAGCTGATACCAGTGAAAAGATGCAAGGCATATTCACTGGCCACTAGTGTCACCAGTTCCTCACCAGTTTAAATTCCCTTGGAAGCTGAATTTCAAATTAAGTTGAAATACTGAAATTTGATTGTGGTCAGTAGAAACTAAAAATTTTGGGAAAGTGCTTTGCAAAGATAAAGTTTTATAAATGAAACGATGAGAACTGATATTACCCAACCTTTGCTGGAAGCATAACATTCCTTCCTGTAGACTAAGGAAATATTGAACTGTTTTAGCATTAAATGTGTTTAAGCTGAACAATCACCTATAGGTTTCTCAAATCACATCTTGCAGAAAGCTGAAAATGTAAGAAGTTCCAGAAATAGCCTGAAAATCATCTAAGAGCTGATGCTGATGGAGAGACTGATGAGCATCTCAATGACTCAGGTGCCTCCCATATGCACATCTTTTTGTCCTAAGAAGAAAACGTTCCACCGTTAGCTATCTTAGACATTTGAAAAAAGTTACTGTTTGCTAAAGCAAGATGGTCTTTGTAGATATTTTGAAAGCTTACAGGGATACCTGAAAACAGGAATTCTTTAGTTGTATAAATTGTATGATTTTATATAGTTTAATTGCACTGAGCTAAGAGACATGAAAGGGACACTCACCTGGCAGAAACTGCTGTGGTACAAAGCTGGAGCCAGACGCCAGTGACTGACAATTTTTCTAACCAAAGTAATTTTCTACCTCAATTTTTCTCATTTTGGAAGTATTTTAGGGTAAGTGGTAGGCATGCCCCATAACTTAGGAAAAAAGGGAAAAAATGAAATAACTTACTGAACTCACATACTAAGGATGGAGGTGAGTCAACCTGGACAAGTGTCCCAGCAGAAGTGTTGTTGTTTTTACACAATCCACACCAAGAGTCTGCAAGCTTCTGTAAACAAAAATTTGAATAAGTACATATGCAAAAAATTTACCGCGAGAGAAGATAGGGTCCATTTTATCACTGCATACAATCTACCCCTACTACAGTCAGATTACAGGAAAGGGAAATAGGGCAGCTAACATCTCAGCCAACACAAGAATCTCAGCAGTTCCTGGATGCTTACTTCCAAATGTCTGTATTTCCATACAGAGATACTAGTAGAACAGACACATGTCCCCTTGTGCACTGAAGTGACAACGCGTGCGGGTGCCCTGCATCAGGACAAGCTGTGGCCCGCTCCCCATCAAAGCTGCAAGCAGACAGGACAGCTTTGCTACTGCAGCACCAGTGAGGACTGTGAAGTTCTGTGGCAGCAGGAACTTGATGATGTGTGGCAGGGTGAGAGAGAAGGAGAAATAATAAGGGAAATCAGATAAAACCAGTATTTCTCACGGATATATGTATCAATTATCTCCAGGCACACGTACCCACCAAGGTTGCCCTGGATAGCCCATTCCACTGCCTACATCCACATGCATCTCACGGTGGGACCCGAGTTCGTTAGCAGACGAACAAAGACGATAACATTCATCTCTATGTTCTTGCCCTGACATGGTTATTCATTAGTTCTTCCTAATGATTGTTCAGTTCCTTCCTTCTAGGGAGCCACTCCTAATTCTCTTCTATTCAGGTTGTTTAATGAGTCACTGACTTTAATAATAATTTTTATTAACCCTTCCCTTACACAGCTAGCAGACCGCCATGTGCTGTGCTGAGAAACAAGCTCCTCAGTGCCTTTCCTCTGTTACGCCATTTTCTTACATGCCGACTGACTCCTGCAGGCTTTCTGCTGCTGGTTGTTGAAAAAAATGCCTTGTTTGTCTTCATGCCTTCAGTTAATTGCTTTTTAAATCTTATTCTACCTGCTTTCCTGCATAATTTTGCTCTCCATGAATTATACTGCTTTTCTAACTGCCTTCTTGTCCAGCCAAATATTACTTAACAAAAAAATAGCTATTTGTGTCAAACGACTTCTTCAAGCACTGTGTTCCCATCCTGCTTTACCTGTCTCTTCTCTTTCTCCCAAGGAGGGAGGGTTGTGTCCAGTTTCACACAGTAAGCCTGCAGCACTCAGTAACGCTGTGCCCACCTTACTCCATGGGAAGCATCACAAAGTTACCACTTAGGTGCTTTGGACTAGTACTCCTTTTTACAAAACAAGAGCAACAGAATGAACAAACAAAAAATAAACACCAAAGTAACCTTAAGAAATGCTTTATTTCTATGTGATTTGTCATTCCTAACAGTAATGAACATAAATATCCTGTGAAATAAGTGCTCAGATGTTGATTTGTCCTTTGATCAGTGACCAGTTGTTCCTCAAGAATAATTTGAGCACGGACTACACTCTGTATGGCCAAAAAAAGATGAAAAAAGCATGTCTTAAATGCCTGTTTTAAAGAATGGAATATGGTTAAGGATTGGATTCTGAATAGTGTATTGAAGGAGTACATAACTGTCCCTTGGCTGTTTGTGATCAAACCTCGCACTTCACACAGCCGCAGCGTCTATTATGCGAAGGCACGTCTGAGCAGCTGCTTTCTGTGCACCTCATGCATGGCGGCACTTGCTCTTTCGACCAAGTTTTGGGCAATTTTGGAGTAGATAGAACTGTTCTTTCTCCTATGTCTTCTGTCCTCATATTAGCAGTGCGGCCACGTATGCTTTTTAGAACATTCTGTGCTTTGTTACTTATATGTTATTGTAACATGTGATGACTGCTATAGAAAACAAGTCCATGTGATTATTTACTTAGGGAACCACACTCAGACCATTATGAAAACGGATTTCTAGGAAGAAATGTATTTCCCATTGACTACTTCCACAGCCCTGTCAGTATCACTGTTGTCAGGTGGGGCATTCACTTTAGGTGCCAATCCAGCCTCGACAGTATCGTAACTTTTTTTTTTTGACTGATAAAACATCGGTGTGAACAGACAGCACAGACAGCTCGATGTGCTCGGAGCCTAGCGTTACTCCTTCAAGCACAGCTCTGGGCCTTTTTCAAACGGCTCCACGCAGCCACAACGAAGTTACCCCGCAGCCGGCCGGGCTCTTCCCGGCAGTTCGTGCGTACATTTATCTGCACTTACGGCGAGGGCCCGGGCCTAAATCCAAGCGCTCCTCCCAGGCACCCTCAGGCCGCGCGGGCAGCGCTAACTGCTGGGCTGCGCGAGGCGAAGACGGGCCACAAGTAGCGCTGCCCGATAGCGGCCGCGAGGGCCCGCGCGGCTCCGCCAGAGGGAGCGGCGAGGCCGGCACAGCGCGCGGCGCTTGCCCGGCCCCGCGAGGGCGGAGAGCCCAAGCCGCGGGCAACAGGTGCCGCCAGCCCCCGGCCCTGCGTGGCGGCGGCAGCGCTGCCCCGCCCGACCCAAGGGGAAGGGGCAGCCCGGATCTGCGCCCGCCCCGCTCCGAGGCGTGGAACCCCTTCGGCCGCGATGGCACCGCTCAGAGCGGGGCGCGGGGAGCCGTGCCGTACCACACCGCATACACACCGCACCGCGCTGGCTCCCACCGCCCGCCCCAATCCTCCGCCCCCGCGCAGCCCCCTCCCCTTCCCCGCCACCCGCTTCCGCCCGCGGCCCCGCGCTCCCGCGCATGCTTGGGTTATGCAACAGCCGCGGCGGGCGGGCTGCGCGGGCCGCGCCGCGCCGGGGCCGCAGGGCAGGGCAGGGCAGCGCGCGGGTCCGTGAGGGTGGCGGCGGCTACCGGGCGGGCACCGGTGTCGGAGGCGCGCCCCTCTCCCCCCCCCCTTCCCGCCCGGCTCCGGAGCGCGCGCCCCGCGCGGTGAGTGGCAGCGGCGGCCGCCGCCAAGTCCCGCCCGTTCCGCTCTCCCTGCTGCAGGCGGCGGCGGCGGCGGGTTGGCTTCCTGCGCTGTGCCGCTCCCCCTCCCCCCGGCAGTCGGAGCCGCAGCGGCAGCAGCCCGGATCCCCGAGCCATGGCTCTGTGAGAGCAGCACATGGCGGCCGCGGCAGCCATGAGCCCCCCCCCTGATCCATACGACCCCCCGCTGAACGGCCGCCCGCAGCCTCCAGCGCGCCCGCCCGGCCCCGCCGCTCCCACCGCCCGCCCGCAACTCCCGGCCCGAACCCGGACCGCGCCGCCACCGCCACCACAGCCGCCTCCGCCGCCGCCGCCGCGGGGCCTCCGCTCGCCCGCCCGCCGCCGCCGCCGCCCGGTGCTCACCATGGGAGTGCAGGGCTTCCAGGACTACATCGAGAAGCACTGCCCCAGCGCCGTGGTGCCCGTCGAGCTGCAGAAGCTGGCGCGGGGCAGCCTGGTGGGGGGGGGGGCGGCAGCGGCCCCCGCAGACCCCGCTGCGCCTCCTCATCGACGCCGACAACTGCCTGCACCGGCTGTACGGCGGCTTCTACACTGACTGGGTGAGCGGCGGGCAGTGGAACCACATGCTGGGCTACCTGGCGGCCCTGGCCAAGGCCTGCTTCAACGGCAACATCGAGCTCTTCGTCTTTTTCAACGGCGCCCTGGAGAAGGCCCGGTTGCACGAGTGGGTGAAGCGCCAGGGCAACGAGCGCCAGACGGCGCAGCAGATCGTCAGCCACGTCCAGAACAAGGGCACCCCGCCGCCCAAGGTCTGGTTCCTGCCGCCCGTCTGCATGGCGCATTGCATCCGCCTGGCCCTCATCCGCTTCCACATCAAGGTGAGCCCCGGGCCCGCTTCGATCCCCCCCGCTCCGGGCGGGCCGGCCGGCCGCTCGCGGGCGCCCCCCCCCCCCCCCCCCCCCCCCCGCGGGGCCGAGCCGGGCGGGGCGGGCTGCGCTGCGGGACCGCGCTAAGATGGCAGCGGCGGGCCTGCCCTGCCCTGGCCCTGCCCGGCGCCGGGCACCGCGCGGCCCTCGCCGAAGGATGTCGGCCCGCGGGGGCGGCCACGATCCGCGGGGATCCGCCGTTCGTAGCGCCGAGCGAGCGCCGCGCGCTCTCCCGGTCGGGCCCCGAGCGGAGCCGCGAGGCCCTGGGCCACCATGTTCTTTGGGGCCAGACTCCGCGCGCTCAAAATGTCCCTCCTCGGCCCGGCGCCGCTGCCCGCCGGGAGTCGGGAGGAAAAGAAATCGGCCGCGCGGGTCTGCAACAAGTCCCGGCCGGGCCGGCGCGCTCCAACTTGCCGCGGAGCTCCTCCGGGCCCTGAGCGGAGCGCTGAACGCCTCGGGTCGGCGCGGGCGGAAGGGCGGCCCGGCGGTGGGGTGCGGCCCTGCCCGGAGGAGCCGCGCTCGGCCCGGAGGCCGCGGCCGTAGCGATGTCCGTGGCTGTAGGAGCGCTGCTGGAAACTTGAGGCGGCCCCTAGCCCGCGTGCTTTCTTGTAGCGGGGAAATTGTTGCGTTCACCGAGCACAAAGTTACAGACCCCGTGCGGCGAGGGTGGTAGCCTCGCTCTGGTTGTGGATGCACCGTCAATCTCGGCTTGTGACGGAGATGTAGAGATCCATAGTGAAAGTGGCGTATACGTGACATAAAATCCACGCTAAAATATAAATGTTACTGCAGTATCGCAATAAATAGCATGCAATACGAAACCGCTGTTCTAACGGTGATAGGAATCGGATGTTTGGGTACGTTGGGCTCTGACACGGGCAGTGCTACACACCAGTTCCTTAATGCTGAAGTGCCGCTCTTGGCAGCGGTGTCACCTGTAGCTCCGTGTTTGCTCTCAGGCTTAGCGGCAGCATTAGCTGCTTTGCCGTTTTGCGGTAATAGGCCTTGTCCCTAATCTCCACAAACAGTTTTAGGATGTGTCGTGCTGGGCCCCATGTATAATCCTCATATAAAAATGGAAGGGAGTTCAGTTTTGCTGAGTGGAGGGTGATGTTTGTGTAAGGTGAGCACTTAGCAGGCGGCACAGCCAGCTGCGTGGGGCCATTCCCTGGTGCTGGCTGTGAGGCGGGACGGAGGGCTGTGCTGTGCTGCACAGGGGGTGGTTTGCTCTATTTGATGCCTCTGTGCAGCTGTTGGGGAGCTGCTTGGGTTGGTTCACGTCCAGGGTAGGTGATGTATTTCATGGTTATGGTGGCAGCATACATAATACTGTCTGTTCAGTACTGTTGCACTTGAATCATATTCTTGTTCTCTTTTTTCTTTTCCTCTTACACACTTTAATCTCTTTATAAGTCAGCTTTATTGCGTGGATCTTTCCCATTCTCCCCCCACTCTTTTCCCAGCAGCCCCCCTGGTGGGCATGCAGCGGAAGGACCTCACACGTGTGATTGTTGTTTGCACGTATGGGTGATTTTATTTACACGTGCACGAGGCAGGTACCAATTCCATTGCCAATTCCAGTGTTTTCTTACTGTTTACTTTGAGCAGTTTAATTTGAGAGTACTGATTCACTTTAAATACAAAACTCATTTTCATACTTGCAGGAAACATTTGAGCCTTGAGTGGAAGGCGTCTGTGCAGACCTAGGGACTGGCTGTGGGCTTAATCTAATTTGGTAATTAGAGAGGAGCGAGAAAGGAGCGTATTCCATCCAGAACAATTACAAATCGCTCGCAGATGGTTTCAGCAGGATGCAAAAATAACAGGTTCCTCCCAGCTACAACACGTATCCTACGGGCTCCTGGCTGTGCTGTGACCTGGTGTTTGTCTGTTTGAGGGAGGGGCAGTCATTCCTAAAAGGAGCTTTTTAACACAAAGTGCGTTTGCAAAAACTTCAATATTTCATCACCACAGATCTTAACACCTTCCCTTCTTTGGTGAGACTTTGTTCTCATTGTGAGAACACACACGTGCCTGCTACTCGCAGAGTTCTCTCTTGGGCCTGGCGTCTCTGTTCGTGTGAGATTTGGTCTCCAAACACACTGTGATTCCCACCATGTGGCTGCCTGGCTGTGGCTGCACACTCTGGTCCTCTGCTCTGGGAGCTGCCGGCCCCAGCTCGAGCCCTGCACAAGCACCGTACTACAGCTTGTCTGTTCTGGGACGCACAGCTCTCCTCCTTGCAGCTGCCCAGTGACTGGAGCATGAGTTCTGTTACATAAAGGGCTCTGGGCTGGGAGCGCTGTGTCAGAGCGCGGGAGGGGAGGGGAAGGGAGCATGGAAGGAGGAAGCAGATCCAAGCAGGCTTCCTCTTCTAACAGCCCGCCTCACAGCGCTGCCAGAGATCATAGCAGAAACTTTCTTGGTGTGCACTCAGAGATGGTTGGTTTAAATACTTGTATGTAATTTAAATTGATGTACCCTTAAAATAAATTAAAAAAAAAAAAAACAAAAAAAAAAAACCAAAAGCACCTGGGAATGCCCTAGTTTAAAACATACTGAGACCTAAGTTTTTGGTGAGCAGTCTTCCTTGAGTTGGTCGTGGTGTGTACCTGACACCTTCTAGTTGTTGCTGTGGTGCTTACAGCTGTTCCTGCTGTGTGTGCAGTGCCATGTGTGGTGTGCAGGGGACAGGGAGAATGAACACTCTACTCTTCCTCACAAACACAATTAACTTTGAGAGCCACTGTGACATATGCATGTCTCCAAAGAAGTCCTGTTTTCTTAGCACTTCAAGGAGGGTAGCGCTGGGAGCAGAGCTCTATGAGCTTCTGGCAATGGGTGCAGGTCTGTGCAGGGTGCTGCCCTTGGGTGCTGGGGACATTGCTGAAAGGGAGAGGCTGCATGGGAGAAGCAGTGTGAACAGTTTGTGTGCGAGACTGTGGTCAGTGCTGGGTTAGGAAGTGCCTTCGAGGCAGCAGCAGGCAAAGAATGGTCACATGGGGCTCACTGTTGGGGTGAGCTGCTGGCTGGGGTTAGGCCGTGACTGCAAGCAAGCAGCAGCTCTGGCACTGGCACCAACATTACAGTGCATGCAGTGGCTTCAACTCACAGTTTGTGCTTTGCTGTTCTGGTACAGCTTGCTGTGTACCTTGTCACAGAGAAGTGCGTGGTGAGGCTGGGTTGGGCCAGCGTGCAGCTCGTGCAAGACTTCTGAACTGCTGGATGCTGTTGGTGTAGATGGGGAAGGCATTGAGTGGTCTTAGAGGGTTTTGAAGGTGGAAAGAGGAAGCAGTTGGATTTCCCAGTGCACACAGGCATTTGGAAGTTTAAGAAAATTAGCCCTACTGCCTCTGGATAGTTTGTTACTGTTAGAACAGGGCTATGAAGCTTGATAAGTGATCTCGTGGTAGGGGTGCTGTTGTGGGGCACTTTGGCTTGGAACTGCTGAGTCGCCGCAGCCAGAGGGCTGTTTTCCTGGAGCTAACGCAGGCTTTGCTGCAGTTAATGTGTTTAGAGCTTGAGTGTTCCTGTTAATAAACAGTTACTTCAGATGGGCTGAGCAATGCATAGCGCACTCCAGTGTGTAGGCCTGCAGCACTTGGCGCTGTGCTCCCGAGCGCTCCTTGCAGCCTGTCCGTCTGTGCCGTGTCATCGGATTTTCTAATTACTGTAAATATTCTGCAGGTGTTTCAAATGCACGTTTATGGTTTCAGAAGGACGCAATATATCGTAGTACATGTGCTGAATCAGTGCTGCCATTTTGCACTGTCGCTAATTACTCTGTCTTCCACTACAGGTTGCACAGAGCATTGAGGATCATCATCAAGAAGTAATTGCTTTCTGCAGAGAAAAAGGTTTCCATGGTTTGGTTGCATATGACTCCGATTATGCATTGTGCAACATCCCGTACTATTTCAGTGCCCATGCCCTAAAACTGAGCCGTAATGGGAAAAGTCTCACAACAAGCCAATACCTAATGCATGAAGTTGCCAAGCAACTGGACCTGAATCCAAATCGCTTTCCTATTTTTGCTGCTCTTTTAGGTAAGTGAAGTAATAAAGGAACTTCATGCTAGTAGTCAGACTTATGATTTCAGTTGCTATTAAACGTTTTAAAGCGTGCATGATGTGACAAAGCATCTCAGCAAAACCATGCCTGTCTTTTAGTCATTCTGGCTGTTCTTGAGGTAGGATGCAATTTGTTTTTTTTTATTTTTTAACGAGGTCAGGCAGATGCCAGATTTGTAGCGACCTGTGAGTGATGCGGACTGTGGCTGTCTGGAAATAGGAGTAGGAAGTAAGAATTTTGCAAAGCTCTGCCTTGCCAAAATGTTCTCAGTGCTGGGGGCGGAGAGGGGAATTCAGGACACTTGGTTCTACTGGCTCTGATCTGCCGTAGCACACAGGGTCTGATTTTAATAATACAGTTTTCAGACTGGAGAAGTGTACTTCCACATCTTCAAAATAGTGTATTTGAAGTGCAGATTTTTGCATTGCAGGGACTTCTCCCTCTCCGGATAAATACTGAATGAATATGACAGCTGCATTAGAAACTCAGTAAAATTCAGTAGATCACCACAGAAAGTCCGAATGATCAGCCTCCCTCTGCTCCACCAGCTTTGTTTGGATAGTTCTTTAGTCCTCCTGCTTTTAAGGCTAAGTGGGGCAGGATTTTTAAGGACCACAGATGAGGCTTA